CAATAGTAAAATAAACAAAGTCATTTTATTATATACAATATATACATTTCCAACTACACAATGAAATAGAAGAATCTTATTGATATCTTTTTGGAAATGAAGCAAAGTACAAAAGAAGACATGCAATAAAATCTGATTTATCTAGAAAGAAGGTCAAACTAACTTACGTTATTTCAGACATCATTTGTGTATGATATAATCCATGAGGAATTCAAAAGTTGTGATACTGGTTGTCTCTAGTAGGGTAGTCAGAGGTTGTAATACACTCCTTTGGGGTTTTAGCAATGCTCAATTTATGTTTCTGGGGTGTGATTTTTATAATTTTTATGCTTTATATTTGATGTACTCCTCTGAATGTGTCATATTTCATAATTTTGAAAACCAGAGAAGGCGATATAATTTGTTAGAATCTTGCTTTGAAAAGGATCAAGGGATTGTGTTATAACTGATTGAGATAGAGGATCAAGAGAAGTTTCAAGATACTTTTGACTCATAGAAAGGCCCTCTCCTATAGGTTCATAAAGAATATAACCTTGGTTTTCTTAAATACAGTTTATATTGTTACACTTTAAACTTTTTTGTTGTTGTTGTTTCAGTGTAGAATGTAAGATCTGGTTCTGATTTGGTCTCTTTCTAAGTTTGCCATGCAGTTGTCTCTTTCTATTTAGAAGTCCACCTTTACTCTCCATACTTCCTATAGAGTTTATTTTGGACTTTCTATTCTGTTCCATTGGTGATCTATACATTTAAGACTCATTACCACATTTTTAACCTTTATTTTTAACAATGTATCTTCTTTTTTGTGTTGAGTACTTTTATGTTGTTTTCACACTGTGCTTTTGGTTTTCATTCTTTCAGTAATTCTCTCTACATTTTAATATATTACTTACTATTGTTTTATTAAGCATGACAAGAAAGACAATATCAAAATGGTTATTAATGTGGGGTCCAGATTCAAAAGCCCCCTGTGGTATTGCCTTGAGATGACTTAATTATCTTCAGTGCCTTAAATTTAATAACTTTAATAATAGTCCCACTAATAAACATGAAAATGTTTTAAATAATGATAATTACAATAAAGCAATACTTCATGTTCATAGGATTTTGTGAGCAATAGATGTGTTATTACAGGGACCACAACTGGAACATGGTGAATCCTGAAAAAATATTAGCTGCTATTACTAACTATTTACGATGCTAAGGAATAAAGAAGTTGTACACGTTTACTATTGCTGTTGTAACAAATGACCACCAACTAAGTGACTCAAAACTTATAATAAGAGTGAGATCTGAGTTTCTAAAAAACATTTCAGTAATAATAAATTAAAATGCTCAGAGAAAATGGCACATGTGGTATAGAAGCTTCTATTATATGACAACATAGAACTTGAGAAATGTTGGAAATAAACATTTACTCAGGATGCTCAGTAAAATTATCTCTTAAAATATGCTAGAAAGGGCTGGTGTTGTAGCTCAGTGGTTGAGCACTTGCCTAGTACTTGTGAGACCCTGAGTTCGATCCTTAGCATCACATTAAGATACATAAATAAAATAAAAGTACTGTATCCATCTACAACTACAAAAAATAAAAATAAATATGTTACAAAAAAAGAAAGAAAGAGAGGAAGAAAGAATAAGAGCAAGGGCCGGGGTTGTGGCTTAATGGTAGGGCCCTTGCCTTGCATGGATGATGCACTGGGTTAGATCCACATAAAAATAAATAAATAAAGGTATCATATCCATCTACAACTAAAATAATATTTAAAAAAATACAAGCTTATACCCTACAATTCTGGAAATCAGAAGTCTGCAAGGCTAATCTCAGGCATTAGCAAGTTTGTGATTCATATGAAAACTCCAGGAGAGAATCTATTTCCTCACTTTTCATTATACCTAAATAATTTAATCATTTAATTTCATGATAATAAGATCAATGGGGACAGAAATACATAGTCTAGTTCTTAGTACTAAAAAACTGTCCCTGTTCATCTTTCAGTGCCTTTTCTTGTCATTTTGTATCCAATGACACAGTTCTGTTCTAGGTGACAGAGTATGTGGGGACACATGGGAGCCAAGGAAGCTGGTGGGAAGGAAAGTTTGTGGACCACTGGTGGAAGCAAATTGCTCCTCTAGAGTTTTCTAAGGGGAAGACCTCTTATTTGGTGGAGAGATACTAGAGAAGTGTTAGTGAGCTAGATGTCAGATTATTTGTAGTGTGGTCTAGACTAACAGTATAAATGGTGGGAACTTTGGATAAGCAGATTAAATATGGTATGACCCAGGTTTAAAAGTGTGTTGAAGATGAGTAGTAATGATAAAGAAAGTTGTTCTTTCCAACTATGCCATTTCCTCAGGTGTAAAATACATGTTATTTTCTGTTTTGTGGTCTGCATAGCTCACAAAGATTCCTATAGAGTATTACTAAACAAATGCTCAGCCAGTGTGCTGGTACCTTATAGAGTTGAGGTCAAGTCTAGAAACATAGCTGAGCAGACTTTTGCTGATACAAGAAGTTTAGAGAAATAAAATTCTCAAAGAACAGAAAAAAAAGTACAGATATTAACACTCATGTGCTTTTCTTTTGTATATAAGTAAAAAACATTTTGAGCAACTAAAAAATAAATGATGGACTTCTAATATCTCCCCACTGTTAATTCTTTACATAATTAAGTAGTTATAAGGGATAAAGAAATGTAACTTTGTGGAGTATTCCTACAATTTTTAAAACTTTTATTGGAGTTAAACAAAACAAATAGAAAGGCATAGCAAAGTGTATTTTAATTCTAGTTTTAAAGAAATTCCTAATCTCCTGATGAAAATTTAGAAGCTTTCCCCATAGAATTTAACTACTGTGAAACATTTTTAAAAAGAGTTAAAACCATAATAGATTTATGGCTTAATAATATTTTATAGTTAAAACTATGTATTAACAGATACATTCATTTAATCAATATTTTTAAATAATCAAGAGGCTCTCATAAAAGACTGAAAAGGTTATGAGGATTTAACTTTCACATATAGAAAGTATAAAACTAAATGAGCATCATCAGAATTTTGGCACATTACACATTACTTATGCCTATTATTTATGAGGTCTAAAGGATTTTAAATAATACATAAAGATTAAGACCAATGTTTTCTATTATAAAATTCTCTGAGCTATGAACTAACTCGGGTGAGGATGAATGCAAAGGAAAAGGCTTTCTCTTTAGCCCTTAAGCACATGACACAATTTTACAGTAGTATTTCCTTTCATCCTCTAGAGATGTCCATCTCATCATAACATTATTTTCTTTAAGCTTGGAATTTCTCCATGCAGAGGTCAACTGACAATGCTGATGATTTGCACCATTGCTCATAGAAGAGCAGCCTTCACCCAGTTGAGAAGGGCACATTGTTTTAACTTTACCACTGGGGCCTCCTTTTGATGGCATCTAGCACTGGGCCAGCAGCAAGAGTGATGCTGAACAGAGGCCAAAACCTAGAACAATTTCCATTTGACTGTGGTTAACAACACCTAGGTAACTTGTCATACCTAGAGACAAAATGAAAGATTAGGCAAAAGGCTTTGGGATTGTTTAAATGTTCATTGTCCCACATTTTATAGTTTCTCATCTTCAGTGAAAAGAAATAGGAAGAGGAAGCTCTGATGTTTTCAGTACGTTAGAGTATGCTACATAAATCACTAGCACGGTGGAGATGCTGGATCTGATCATGAAACCTGGTGATTTGAGCTTGAGGGATCATGTCACCCCTTTCCTGAGAAGTAATAAATAAAAACAATAAAACTTAGCAATAAGCAAGGTCAGCCTCATTCTGATTGCCTACACCACTGACTTGTCCTTACTACCTTTAATGCACAGAAACAATAGACATTTCCATACTTTTCTTTTCCACTCAGGTAGGTCCATTCTACTTCTACAGTTAGTCACATTCCTCTTTCTCTAGTTCCAGAAACATCCAGTCCCTGAAATGTTGGAGTCTGTAGAATTCCATCCCAAGGCTCCTTTTTCACCTACGCTATCCGATTTCCTTGAGTAATCTTTGTCACAACTTGACTTCAATCCTCTTTCCCAATCCTCTTTTCCATATTTAGGAAAATATTAACGGTATTTGTAAGAGAAGAAACTGACACAAAAACAGAATATCTAGGTGATGTTCAGTCAGGCGAGGTCTGAGCCTTAGATGAGGGAAATTGTCCAGGTCACCAAAATTTGGAGGGACGAGTACAAGAAAAGAATGAGGGGATCAAACACCAGAGTTTGCCCATAATGCCTTTCAGAAAAGAGCTATAATCCCCAAAATACCCTGGGGTAGTTACTGAAAATCTGGTATCCACAGATTCCATGGTAAGCCAGGGAAAATGTCGGGATGTTGTGTATCTTATGAGGTGTTCCCACAGGAATTCGCCAAAGAATCTAGGGAGCAGCAACACTGAGGATACCACTAATGGGAAAGGCAGCTTTAATGGCTCACAAGGGTGTGAGATACTCATATTTAGTTATCTCTTTGGGGCATCGCTAACCTCATATAAAACTGGGGACACAACAGTTCTGCTTCACAGTAAATAGATTAGATGAGAGAATGCATGCAGAGGGCTTTGTACAGTGCTTGGGAGAGAAGAACTCCTGCTTATTGAGTGATGAGAAACTACAGGACTTGGTGAAACAAGCACTGTGAGTTCAAGGCCATAAGAACCAGAGATGACCAAGGCAAGGACAACAGCAAAGACAAAATGCAAGATGAAATTGATGAAACAGGTATAATCAGGGCAAAGGATTTTCCAAAGCCATTAACAAATTAACAGAAAAGGCTAATCACTGTGGGACAGAAATGTCTTGCTATAGATTTAATAATTTATATTCTTATTCTACTCCACTCACCATTCTAAATCCAAATATTAATGTGCTTGCTTATCACAATAACCTCACAAATATGTCTAACCCCCATTTCTATTCTATGCAAGAGGAAAACAGGCACAGAGGACATAGATAACTTGCTTACACCATGTATTTGGTAACAGTGGAGCTTGGATGCACACCCCACGGTCTGATGCCACAGTCCCTGCCCCGAGCCACCCTAGTACTCTTCATCTCACCACACTGTTTCATGCTCTCATCCTTATAGAGAAAGGACAGAAACACAACCCTAGGCTGAAACAACTGATTCAATACCTGGAGCAGATGTGCCAAATTCCTGTGTTGCTGTGCCAAAATGTTTGCTATTTCTATTTCCATTTGTCTTATTTGCTGCTGATGGAGTCTCTCCTTCTCCTCCATCATTTGCTGCATCTGCCTATGAATCACCACCGCACTTTCTGCTTCAGCCTTGGCAGCCTCTGCTTTCACACGTGCCTCTGAGGAGAACAAGGAAAAGGATAAACCTTCTAGGACAGCTCTGTCCCTCCCTTGGGCCTCCTGTTCTCATTCCTTATTGTTCCAACCCACACAGAAAATTCCTGCCATTGTTTTTCCTTCCAGATAACCATACTGCAACTGATCCTGCCATACTCAGATACCACCTGTGGGGATAAGAAGCCTCTTTGTCTGTCTTGATCTAGGTGAATGATCTCAGCTAGGCCAGGATACATGAATTTCAAATTTCTGGACATTTCTTGTCTTTCTTGCATTACTTCTGTTCTCTTCTCACCTTCCATCTCCTTTTCCTTCGCTGTGAGAGCATGGTCTGTCTGTAGAACAGCGTTACGAACAGACTCTTTGGACTTTAAATACTTTTGTAGAGCTTCCTCAGCCTAGGAACCCCAAAAACACACAGTAAGATCCAGGAAATTGTGTTTAGCGATGTGCTACAATTGTACTTGTTGTTCCATCAATCATCTTTTCCTCTTAGAAGGCGCTCTGCCTGCACCTGATGGAGATGTCCATCAAGCCTCTCCACAGGTGGGGTTCAGAACCTGGCTGGGCCAATCAGAGCACCCAAGGCCACTTGATGAAGAGAACTCATTCACAGAAGGAAAAATACTGCAACTTGAGTGTTTTAAAGACTGGTAAGGATGCTGGGAAAGACATGTTCTGTTCCCAGAGGATTGAGGCACTAAGAGGAATTGAACTTTTATTCAGTTGTATCTTCCTGGTTGTCATGTGGGGCAAGTCTATTTGAAAATGAAGCCAATTATCAGGAAAATGGAGCAGAATAATGAAATAGGGGTTGGAAAGGAAAAGGAAAAGAAGACAATTGAGGACACTGTTTGAACTCTGGAAAGTATTCATATTAAAAATTTTTGATTTTAGATATTTAAACCAATTATATTTTTTCTTAAATAAGTTACAATAATTGGAACTCTGTTCTGTATAGCCAAAAATGGTCCCTTTGTTGCAGTCAGTACTCATGTTTGCAATAGAATTTTAGTGATTATGGTGATGGTTCAGTTTAATTCCACAGCTATCATTAGCACACCCACATCCTGTGCTAAAATACCAACACCAGGTACATAATTCCCAGGCATGCTCATTCAGTTACAGAGTAACTCGGAGGCAGAGACATAAACTGCACCTCTGTTCCTGTGTGCATGTCCTGTCCTCAATGGCTTTTTAAAACAGATACCTCAGCATTTCACATAATTAATAGATAGAATCCTGGGAAATACCTGTATTCCTTTCCTGGGCTGTTGATGATACTTTGTCATTAGCTCCTTTGTCTTCTGAAGGTAGAGATTATGGCCTCCTGGCTTAGAATAAAGCCCCTGCTTCACTGCTTCTTCCAGAGGACCAAAAATATCCTGAAGTAAAGCTAAGCAACAATCAGAAGAGGCTTTCTCATTCTGCTTACAAATGTCATTCTGCTTTGCATCTAGTAGGGTCTTCAAAGGGAAAGAACCCACGGAGATATTAGCAACACCTCAGTCTTTCTGAAATTTATTTTTAAAGAGATTCTCTATTTATTTAAGAAACGTCAAAGAATATAAGCAAGACTATATCCTTCCCAGCAAACCTGAAATAGTTACAAGAATGATAGTCTATAAAATATGGCATTTATTTTGGGGAATGAAATTTCCTGAAACCCCTCTCTTGCATTTCTACTTTAGATGTGATCTTATGTCCACAGACCTCTAAACTCAAATCCTCATTTTAAATGCAGCCTACTCTTTTTCAGCATTTCTGGTTTCAGGATTTTTCTACCTTCAAGAAGTAGAAGTGAATAATTAGCTGGAATGACGTCAACTTGCTCTATTAATCCTAGATAGCTCATACTTTAGCAGATCCAAATGACAATTCTCTCTGCTTAATAAAAAGATAAAACATGACTTTGTAAATACAATTTTTTTCTTTTCACATTTTTATTGGTTCATTGTAGTTGTATATAATGATGGGATTTGTTTTTATGTATTTAAACATGCAAAGAATACAACAATATATTTTGGCCAATATTATTCCCTGTAAATACAATGTTTTAAAGGAATGAAATCAATTCAAATTTAGTTCTTGGGTGTAACATGGTAAAGTTGAGCTGTGTGCATAGAGGAAAACTTCAGACCCTAAAGGGCCCAGGTATTTACATTTTGTTTACAAATGAAAAGTGACAATATGTACACATAGGCAAATATCATTATTTTCTAGTCTAATAGGAATTGTTTTTCTTAAAAAAGACTTATTGTGTTATTCACAGTAATATTTTTCCTTCTGTTAACCCTAAACCACATGAATTAGAATAAAACACACAATTACCTGTAATTCCTTCTGGAAACTTTGGTCCTCATCCTTGAAAGAGTTCTTTTTGAAGATTTCTGTGGCCTCTCCCTCGCTGGACCTGTGCAGGTCTACCAGCTCCTGGAGGGTCTCTGTGGGAAGCTGCACCTTCTGGCCCATCAGTTGGTCATAGTGGGCAAGTGCCCTTTTTATTGCAGCTGCATTCTCTCTCTGGGCCAGGGTCATGACTGCGTTCTCCATGCAGGGCAGATCTCCACTGTTGATAGCGTTGACATAGGTCAGCACCAGGTTCTCTAAACCTGCACAGAGGAAGAGATCCTGGTGTTATTTGCATAAAAAGTCAATGAAACAATTGACTAATTGATTAATTAATGTCAACTAATTCTGATAACATTCATTCAACAACTTTCTGACCAGTAGAGAACTTTCTTTAGGAAATCGTGAGATTAAGAAGACAGGTATTTCCTTCTTTGGGAAAAGAAATAAGGGCTAAAGAAGAAAATAGCAAAAAAGTCTAGATATATGATTGTATGATTTTTTAAAAAATATTTTTATTAGTTTTTGATATTTTTTTTTTACTTCTTTGTATGTGGTGCTGAGAATCAAACCTAGGGCGACACACATGCTAGGCAAGCGCTCTACGGCTGAGCCACAACCTCAGCCCCAAGATATATGATTGTATGATTTTAATCCTTCTCCATAGAGAAATAAGCAGATGATCTTATAAAATCATGCACATTTGCTGAGAGCCACGGCTGAGTATTGATTGACAGGCGCCTCTGCCTGTCCGCCTCTGCCGCAACTTTTGAGTTCTCGCACTATTTTGGAGTTCTCGTGGGGATTTCCGGGGATTCCCCGAGAGTTCCCATTGGTTGGGGAAGTGCAGGAGGAGGGATTTCCGGGAGATATAGTTCCGGCTGGGGGTTCCTGGACAAGCCTCGTGGCGAGTTCGGGAGGATTCCCCGGGAGCTGTGTGAAGTGTTTTCCTGCGTTTTAAAAATAAAGTTTGTTCCTGCTTCAGTGGCTCGTGATTTGTGCCCAGCCAGACTGCGGCACACATTCATGTGATTGGATTTTTTTGCCTCTTTAATCCTCCTTTTATTTCCCTCTGCCTTGGATTTCCATTTTCTTCAAAATTTCCTCTTCTCTCATTTTTTTTTAAGTATTTAAGTTATCATACCATTCTCTGAAGAGAAGCAAATTATACAATTTAGACCAATTGTCCCTTATTCTGTGTTGGAACTTCCTGGTTTTCCTTCTTTGTCATTTTTCTACTTCCCTCAATAATACAACAATCATTTACAAAGTTATGAAACCTGAAGTTGTTAGGTAAAGGTAGAGCAAGAAGTCTGATTGGATATCTTTAGAGGGTTTAGTTCAATACTGGACCTTAGTTCAATACTTGTAGCAACCAAGTTCCATTTTCACAGGGAACAGGTATGTGTCACTATATCTACCAAAATTGTGACACACCACATGCATCTAATTTATTTGTTGAACAAATGCTGTCAATCTATGGGGAGTAATCTAAATGAACAGGGGAAGATTGAAGATAAAATATCTAACTTCATCATGTTCCTATTTCATGTAACCTTATAGGCATTACTAAAACAAATATTAGAAATACTTTTTGTATTCATTATAGCTTTTGTAAACATGGTGCATATGATTTGCACAGTGGTAATTGTTTATGCAATGTTGACCCAAGGACCTTGTTACATGTTACACATTATGTTGAATAGAAGGAAAATCCTTAAAGAGATACTCACAAGGTCCATTGACCTTGATGCCTCCTGGAAGTGTCTTGATCTTGGACTTGTTGAAGATGTGGGAAGAGAATTCTGCCATTTGTTGCACAAACTGAAAACTCAGCTCATCCTCCTTCAGTGTCTCTAGCTGGGAGATCTTCTTCTGGTGAGTGGGTGAATCAAAGACAAAGCACTTCCTGGTTGGAAAGAACTTCTGAATACACAGACGAGGCAAATTGAAACTTTGAGTTCTTTGATCACTACCTGGAGAAGAAAAAAAACAGTATTTATTTTCTTTAGAATTTACATTCACTTTAATCTATTCTCCTCAAATATATGTCCTTTCCCTGGTGTTACTCAACTTATTATGTCTTCATATACCGTTAGAAAAATATTAAGGATAACTAATCAGGGGAAAGAAAAAAGGAAAGAATTTTTCCCAAGAACAAGGGAGTAATAAATTTTGATATTGAACATATTACTTCATTTGAAATTAATAATATTCATTATTTTTTTTAAAAACAGCTAGGTAGATAAATAGGGAAAATGATACATTTAGCCTTCTACCCAAAAGAGATCATTTCTTGGGTTACTTTCCTTCTTCTTTCCAAAACCAAAGCATTTATTTACCTTTCTTCATCTTCAGTGAATTCTGCAGATATTCATCTGCTGTCATGAGTTGTCCATCTCTTTCCAGGCTTAGGTAGAAGTCTCTTAGAGTCCACACCAAGTCTGGAAAGAAGTTTCCAATGTCATCAGCATCTTTCACTCCATTGTCAGGCAATGTCCTTGCCCTGAGTATATCTGTCAGTTCTGTCACATTGCTGAGATGATTAAGGAAAAGTAGAAGAAATACCACAGCATCTAAGCCTATATTTGATTTCATGTTCCCTAAACCTGCATTTTGCATTTGGCAACTAACAAATCAACATTTCATCATCAGTGAATATGAGGGCTCTTGACTGTACATTCAGTGTCTACCCATTTTCATTTGGGGGATTTACAAAGTTTCACAGACTTGCAGCTGATGAATGGCGTTCTCTGTGGCTTTGGTGCCATCCTGAACCTCACAAGGATACTGCAGTAGGTCAATAGCCCCCTGGTCAATTTTGTTCATGGTATTGTATACAAAGGTGCTGCTCAGAAGGATTGCCAGAGCAAAGATCTGGGTATCATTCTTATCATCACCCTAGAAGTCAAACAAATTTAAGTCATGTCAAATGGCATTTCCAAATGAACTATCATTGAAAATAAGATTCTGATATACAAGTGTTAAGCAGGGAAAACACAAGTGATCAAACACATGAACTTCCATAGTTTTATCATTGATAATTTTACCCGAAAGCATACATTTCTAACTCCCAAGTCTCACTTTTAGCCACTGATAGATAATTGCAAAATTAATAGTCAATGGGGTAACCAGAATAGTAAAATCAAGGTTTTCCAGGTACTAAAACAAAATCAGCCTATGTGAACAATCCATATATCTATTTTATCAAATAATTATTATCCACAGGGAGTTCATATTACTGATCTTACCTAATTTTAATGCTGTGGGATGAACTCATAATTAATATCGCCATTTTGTAAGGAAACTGAAGCTGAAATTTTGGATTACTATCTTTGCATCTTGGTAGGTAAATCAAATGTAAAAATCAAAATCAAAACATAAAAAACAAACAGAGGACATTCAAGAGAAAGTTTGGTTAGTTGCAAAAACCAGCTCATGAGAGTCAACTGTGTACATCTCTTCTCAAGTCTGAGTTTAGTGACTTCGCTTGAGTAGCTTGTAATTAGTTATGATAGGAATCTTTATGGAATGCTCAAGTTGTACAAATCCAATTCATTTTCTTCTGTGAACTTGTTGCTAAATACTTATTAGAATATAACTAGAGAAGACCCATGCAGTAAAAAGGATCCATGTGTCTACTTCTCCTATGATGAGTTGAATAAGACCCAAAAGAATATAAAAAATTTAGGGAGACTCACTCTTCTGTCATGGTCAGAAAGCAAAAAGTGCCAGAGCCCTGAGTTGAACCGAAGTTCATCTCATCCTGTGCCCACTACTAACCATATAAGCTTGTAAAGTGAGTTTATTTGCACCATTTTTATATACCTGGGAACTACTAAGCAAAAACATCAATGTAGTTCTAATACTCATTCTGCATTATAAGTATATTTTCTCACTTTAGGCTTCCAAACACTATTGAAAATAGAAACAAAAAAATGAGGGGCAATATAGTCCAGTCAAGTAAAAGTACAAATTTATAAAAACAAAATGAAAAACTCCTTGTACAAAGCATGTTCAGTGATAAGGAGTTTAATCATAAAAGAATCTTCTGTCCTTACCTTCTCTACATCACCCAGGCCTTCGGTGTCCAGCAGAACTAAGGTGTGGCCTGGCTTCTCAGGATGAGGCACACACCACATCCAGATTCCCTTGGTGTGAGACTGCACAGTGGAGCCCACAGAGAAGCCTGCAGAGGGGAGTGCAGGGGTTGTCACAGAGAAGGTGATCTAGAATTCGTGTATTTTCTTGATGATTCAGTTAGGGTTTGAGGAAAGCAAGATAAGAAAGCAGCAGAAAATACGATCTTCATTACAATAGAGAAATGGGGGAATAAAGTCAAATTTTGTAAGTGGAAAATTTTTATGGTTTTCATAATAATATGCAAGTAAATTTTTTAAAGTTTATAATTATGCATATGGACCATCTTATTATCCAAAGTACATGTTTGAAGACAGGAATTGGTGTGAATATACTTTGTCTACAATCAGAGATATGAAAAATTGTGTTCTGTATATGTAATAAGAATGGTAATGCATTCCGCTGTCATATATAAATAAATATGGAAATTATTTCATTGATCTCATTCTGTATGAGGGGAATATACTGTGTTTCTCCCTGAAAGACATTAAGATCGACATTTTTAAAAAGTTCTATGTCAGGGACAGAAACCTTCCCTTTATCTCCCCAAGTTAAAAGACCCAGGTGTGGCCCAAACACTGGTTTACACTGTCCCTCCTTGGCACTGTCTTTTTCCCCTCCATCCCCATGCTGGACGCCCATAGTGTGGTGGACAGAAGGCTCAGCAGAGCTCTGTTGGTGGCACTCACCCTTTTTCTTCCCAGCCAACTGGTTCATTAGGTAGGATTTGCCTGTGCTGCAGACACCCACGATGGCCACCACCACCATTGGCTGCGTGATGGCCGACAGGATCTGCAGGGCTTCCTGCTTGACCACTAGCTGCCCCTCCATGTTCTCGATGAGGCACACAGGGCAGGGCATGTAGGTCTCTGAGGCCATATCTGGGATGTTCCTTAGTCTTCAAGGGAAGAGGTAGGATGAGCAGCAATTTCTAGTCTTCAAGCAGAAAAAGCCATTTTGCTTACTGAACCTGAAAACATAACTGTTCCCCAGCATGGTCTCTTTCTGAAGACATTAAAAAACAAAATATAAAAAAAGATAATCAAGAGCACCATGGTAAAGTCGGTCCTAGGCCTGCTATCAGTTACCTTGCTTATTCTTAAATATTTGGTGGACATCTAAAAATTTATTTCCTGAATCTTACCTACTGGTTCTTTGTATCTAACTCCTTCCCCTGGATTTTGGTTTACTTATATTCCTTTTTTATGTCCCTAGCTTGATTATTTGCCAAATATAAATTTTTGTATTTCTCTTACTTAAGTCCAGGTCCAAAGTGAATTGCATTAATTCTAAGCCATTATCTAGCATTAAAAATAATTTGCAGGTGCTTATTTCTTAAAGCTGCACTTTTGAAGTGCTTTTTACTTAGTTAATAAATCCCTTTATTGAAACAAATGTTCAAAGCATGATGATTTTATGACTGGCTATATGAGTGGATGACAAAACTTCTTTTATTAATATTTAACCAATTTCTACTTCTGTTCTTTAGCTCCTGTAATCTGAGGAGTCTCTGGTAAAATATTTTTAAGCAAATTTTTGCTTTTCTGACTTGTCATACTGTTAAAATTCTTCTTGAGTTTTCTGCCATTTTACAAAACTAAGAATTCACTATCTGTTTGACTTTATTTTCATGGACATCTTAAAATGAATACTTCTGGACTATTGTTGTAGCAGACTATATAAGCTGTGAATTTCTTTGTTGTTGTTGTTGTAGACAACCATAAAGATCCATTCTCTCCCTTTCTCATACCCAAAGCCCTGTCAATCCTCTAGAAAAGACAAAACAGAAACTGCTGCTTGGAAACAATAGTAGGAAGTCACAAATTGCCTTCACACATGGCACAGCTCCAGGGCATGGAAGTCAGGGAATGCTTGTACTGCAGAAAGGGGCAATTTTATGATGAATTTAGAAGCTCAGATGCCAGGTGTCTTTCCATTTTAATATACTGCTAGTACAATATTGGCACCATAGATAAGTAGAATTCTGGCTGCCTGACTTACATGTAGCAGATGTGAGAATCATATTTAGATTAGAAAAATGTGGCAACTCCCAATTATAATCTACACTAATTAGCTATAAAAACAGAAGTTATATAACTAAATCTGTATACAGATATTCTGAGCTTACAAACTCTCATGCTTTCGAGTGAATTTACTAACGTGGGAGCTAACAGCTTTAATGTTTTGGACTTTCTCGTGAATAGCATTAGCATGTGTATTAATAATAGTGTTTTATATATTGTTCCCAGGTGTTCTCTGCGTAACATCTTTAGTGCTTTTAGAAGACCAAATCTCTAGCACATCTTTGAGTATTTATAGTGTTCGAGCCACACTCATAACTGCTGCTCTGCAATTTATATCTCAGCCTGCGTGTGCCTCTGGGATGCATTCTCTCCCACTCTAGTAGAGCCCAAGACTTTTATAAATGAAAACAATGTAAGAGTGGATCAAAACACATAGAAATCAGGGCTGAGGGTGTGGCTTAGTGGTAGAGCACTTGCCTAGCATGTGTGAGGCACTGGGTTTGATTCTCAGCACCACACATAAATAAGTAAAAATTAAAGGTCCATTGACAACTAAAAAATATTTTTAAAAAGCACATAGAAAACAAATGCACATTTGGATTTGTAGTGAGTTAAATTTAATTTTCAATCTCTCAGCCCTGTAACTAGCTATCACATTGGCATTTCACTCAATTCTTTAAGCCTAAAGTGGAAGTAATGTTTCCTAAAGTGGAAGTAAATGACTCTATTTATATCAGTACAGCTACTATTTTTTAAAAAAGAGGTTTGCAGGAGAGAGAGAAAAAGTTCAAAGAAGAAAAATGCCAAGAAATAAAAGAAAATGCTAAGAAGTGTTGTTGATAGATTTTTCTGGAAGAAAACAATTCTTTTTTAAATCCATGTTAGTCTATCTTGGGTTTTATGTTTTATTGTTGCTGTTTTTATTACGTTTGCTTTTGATTTATTTTGTGTAGTTTTGTTCAAAGTTTAGAGGGAAAGGAAAAGGCACTGATCAAAGAGATATGTGGAAATCAAACAAACATGAGACTCATTAGCATGTGCTATGGAAAGAAGTTGAGAGGAGGAAGGAGTTCCAAGGAGTGACAAAATTGCTAGACCAATATTGAGTTTGGAAATTAAATCTAATCCACAATAAGCCCAAATGTGCATTTGTTTTCTATGTGTTTTGATCCACTCTCGCATCTTGTACATTTATAAAAGTCATGGGCCTCTACCACAGTTGGAAAGAATGCCTCCCAGAGGACAGCAATATGGAGCTGTTGAATTAAGTGATCCTAACAGCAGAGACACTAGAGTAGAAAAAATAGGAACCAACACAAAAGGGACTAAGGAGATTGCAGGAGTGGATGGCATGGGGGTTTAGGGGGCAAGCCAATATGATAACCATATATTGCTCTTTTCAAGAAACCACTTCATTGTTCACTCTGGGTTTCAATTTTTCCTTTTTATTTTCTTTCTATTTTCTCTTTTCTTTTTTCGTCCTTAACAATGCCAGCAAATATTTATGTTGGTTGACGTTTTCATTTATTGCTCCCTCATGAAAATAATGAAAACTTCTTAAAATATTCAGGCTACAGTTTAAACAGCAAAACCAGGTGTTAGTAAAGACAAATGTCACTTAGTGACAATTATATGATGGGACATAAGGTGGCAGAAGAAGAAAAACAGTATTAAGACATTTTGAACCCTCAGCTACTCCCCACTGCTATTGTGTCTGATTCAGCAGGAAACAAACTTAGCAGACAATGAATTCTGCTGTCTATGTGGCTACACCACAATTTAGTCTTTACTAGATCCATTATGTAGCATGTCAGGCAGAATGCCATGCTATACTGGATACAATGTTTTAAGATCTACCGGAACCTTGCAAATCTCTTCCCACCTTGCCCATGTCCTTACCTTACCTGTAAAATCTGGAGCAAAGATCTTTTGGAGCCAGTAGAAAAGCTGCTTCCAGGAGTACTTGGTAAGATTAGTCCCAACAGCTGACTTTAGTTTAGCTGTGATGAGTTCTGATGAGCTCTTCCCCCAATCCTGGGGATTTCCATTCTTTCCCACCTCCCACCTCCCTGAAGATAACTTGAATATAAAATGTAAGCATGCCAAAAGTCAGAAGGGGTTTACCAAACTTCTCTACAGATAACTGAAACCACAGAGCACATTCAGTGACTAAGTAGTAGCAAAGGGGATATTCCAAGCTTCCTCTGGTGGAAGGTTTGGATACATAGCGTAACTGAAGGAGAACTTTGAGCTCTTTTGTGAGTTTTCCAAGGGTGTGTTATTTGAACTAGCTTGAGATAAGATGATATTTATCTCCAACTGGGAAGAACATACTTTAGTAGGTCTGGTAAACTGAAATGTTAAGCGCACCTATGTAGTAGTTAGTTTATTGCTTTTATGGTAGGTTCAGAAGCTGAGAATTCAATTGATAGGAAAAGACAAAGGTCCTGGCATTAGTACACAATGAATGCAGACAAGGAAGTTATTTTCTAAACATTTGCTAACTCCATGCACAGGGCTCACTAGTTTAGATGGAGTACCCTATGTTAACTCTCCCAATAAAAATTGCCTCCATTTTTAAACAGCTAGAGCCCTCAGAGGTTCAGTAACCCGTTCAAAACCACAGAGCTACTGATAAACAGATCTTAAGGTTCAAACCAGAGCACTTCCTGGAGTCCTTCTGGTTTGTGGTGTGTCATAATTGCCATCAGCGTCATTACTTCTTTTTCATAATTAGATCTCTTTTTATTCTGACAACAATCATATAGGACCATTGGTTTTATCTGTAATTTAGAATAAACACAGGGGTCTTGGGCTGTGTTGCCTGAGATTTCCTTCCAGAGTCAAGGATTTGAGACTGAGGGATTTGCTCGGAAGATAATGCTACAAAGCAGAGTAGGAGATAGGGAATGAAAACTGGAAGGGAATGAAGCCAAGGAATGGGGCAAGAGCCAGTGGTTCCTTTTGTGTGAACCACGAGGTTAGTCCCTTGAGCTAACTCCAGGAAACCAGGTAAAATCGGCCTGGGAATCTGGCCCTTAGGATGGGAGCGTTTTCCTCCTGCTTCCTTCAATATCTGCAGCATGATCCTGGCAGCCTGACTCCCTGGCATTGCTGGCCTTGCCATGTGTGCCTTGAGAGCAAACACTAACTAGGGGATCTGAAATATTTGTTGTAAAACATCAGTGGAATGTGCAGAAAGGGTAAGTGGTAAGGGAAGCTGGGTGGGGCACCCACAGCATCTGTGAAAACCATTTCCTATTTGCCAAGATCCCCTCATATCTCACAGAAAATCCACTCCTTTCTTCAAGGCTTCTTCAAATGGATGGCTTCTCATAATTTTTTTTAGGTACCCACAACAGGAAAGTCTAAGCTATAGCCCTCATTATTGCCATGGATTTTATGATCAAAATTGATATTCAAGAATCTTCCCCTCTTCTACCCATTCTAGATTACTCATACTTAGCCATCAGTTCTTCCTTTGTACTTACAAGGGATCCTAAAAAATCTGTTTCTGTTCCAGTTAGGCTGTGCTTGTTTCCAATACATTTAAACCAACCACAGAAATAACAACAGACTCCCAATGAATCCTTGAGAACCAGACATACTCTTCCTTCTATCACGTACCATCTGCTCACACAAATCATGGTTGGTTAAGTTTGCCAACAAAAAAAAATATCTCACTTATTGTTTGAAGTATGATTCAATAGTAAGTTTACAAGAGACCTATTGAATGACAGCTGTAGATTCAGATGTATTGGAACATTATTAAGACCCTTTGGAGAAATGCTGCCTAAATTTACCTTAAGAACCACTCTTATACTCCAGCAGAAACATAGGATGTTGTCAGTGGAT